ACAACCAGTTCTATGGGCGTGGCTTAGTTGGTGGGCATGGCTTGGTGGTCATATGACTGGCTGGGCATGGCCAACTCAACATCACTCACATCGAGGCAAGCATCTCCTCGCTTGGCCTCTCATGACTGTGGGGATGCTGCAACAGACGTAAGTGTGAAAAACGGTCATGTCATTTTTTTCAGTGCCATTGTAACTTTGAATGGTTACTTCACACAATCAAAGTACCAGCAAAGGAGGGGGGGGGGAACTCTAGAGACGTTCCTGAGGCAGGAAGTCTAGTCCTGCCAGGAATGTAATAAGGGTTAACGAAGAGGCAGTTTCTGTAAGCAACACCAGAATGTTTCCTTCCTGCCTTCCTTACAGGATTAGGCCAGTAATTTCTTTTAACAACCAGTTCTCCGAACTGCTTAGAATGTTAACAACCGGTTCTAGCGAATAGGTACGAACCTGTAGAATCCCACCCCTGAAATTCTCCCTTTGTTTTGGAGCACTGCCCCTCTCCCAAAAGGAACATTACCTATGCATTTCATTCTCGCTTTCTCTCTCCAGATTTCCATTGTCTGGAGCATAAAAAAGGGTTCTATGAGAAGGAAACCCAGCCCCAAACCTGAAGTAGCTGCCACCGCCTCTGCTGCTCCATTTTTGTTGCTGTTCTTTTCTATCAGGAGACAGGTCTGTCCCTCCAGGTTGCTGCTGTCACCTTATCCTCGCTGAAGCCATTTGATGGAGGATTATTGGAGAACATGTCCTGGATTCTCAGTGGCCAAATCAGAAGGAAGAAACTTCATCCTATTGCTTCCATTTGGTGGCATCCTAGGCCAGACAATAATGGTTCAATATGATTCCTAATCTTTACTGGTGGTTAGCTATTCCACTTCTTAATTTTGTTCTCTCAAGCTTTGCTGTGTCACTTTTCCTGCTCTTCTCTAGTGTTCAAAGTAATATATTTGGCTTGATGGTAGTTATAAGTTTTTCAAAGAAGTGATACAGATATGAAATAACTGTAGTCCACTGGTCTTCTAAGGATTTTGAAGGAAGTGATTATCATTGCAATAAAAACATGATTTCATGAGAGTGTAAAGCACCAATTTTCTTTTACTGATGAAATACATAGCAATTGAAAAAAGTTTATGCTGTCCAATTTGCTTAGATCCAAAAATTGGAATATTGATTTCCTCAATCTCATTGCACAACGGAATTTAAGCTTAATCCTATGCATCTCTTGGAAATGTCCAAATAAAGCTCTGTATGATGCAATTCTTAATAAATAAATCAACGTAGGCATAGCATACGATTGTATTCTCTGTCCAGTTTATGCCTTGCTAATGTGGTGGTTCACTACTGGGAAATAGACCAATCGGCAGTAACACTGAACCACCATTTCAACAATAAAGAGCTTCATGCAACCTTTTTTAATAGGGAAGATCTCATCACATAGCCTAATGCGGGAGTTAATAGATTCATAGAATTCAAAAGCTGTACTTTTATTGATGCCCTGAAAGGAATCCTTCTTGGCTTGTAACAATGGTTACAGTTACATCTGACTGTTCTGGAGCCTCCTTCCATAAGTAGGGACTTCAGCTGGCAGAAGGGCAGGGTGCTAGACCAAAGCAATGGCGTAAATGTAGGGAAAGAGCGCTTCCCACCAAACGGCTGGATTTGCAACGAATTATTACTATTACTCTGGATGCTGTTTCCAGATTAGCCTCCCCACTCTGCTATGAACCTAAGAGAATGGGGATCGCTGAGCTCGGCTGCCTTCTTTTTTGTCTTGTTTTGTTTTCTCTAGCCTTCTGGGTGTTGGGCGGCCTCGGGAATCTCTCTGCTACTATCACAGGCCGGAAAAGGCTCCCAAGTTTGGTCTGGTCCCTGCCGTCCCATGTAAACAGCCGCCGCTTCTGGAATTAAATTATATATTGCAATGTCCTACCTGTCAATGAATACTTCAGCTTCAACCATAACAATACAAGAGCGCACAATAGATACAAACTCAAGGTTAACCGCACCAAACTTGATTGCAGGAAATACGACTTCAGCAACAGAGTGGTCAATGTCTGGAATACTCTACCTGACTCTGTGGTTTTTTTTCCCCATACTCCAAAAACTTTAACCTTAGACTGTCTACTATTGACCTCACCCCCTTCCTAAGAGGTCTGTAGGGGGCGTGCATAAGCACACCAACCTGTCCTATTGTTTCTTTTTATTTTTCCTATAAGTATCTATCTCATGTATTCAAAACTACTTATACCTGTTATAATTGCTTGACAAAATGAATGAATGAATGAATGAATGAATGAATAAATAAATAAATATAAAATAAAATAAAATAAAGAGAAGGAAAGAGAATAACTGCGAGGAAAGTCTCTTAGACGGGGCGGGAAAGGGGAGGAAAGGAGACAAGTCCACAATGCCGCTGGTTTCTTCACAAGCCTGAACTGCTCAGAGGTGGAGCCAAACCAAATCTGGACAGCTGGAGGTTGGACGGGGACACAAAGTGTTCCCCACGCGTCGACAAGACAGAAACCGTCCTTCTTCTTCTGCCTTTTGACTCTCCATGAACCCTGGGAATTAAGAGAGTCTGGATGGCGAAGTAATTTGTTTGCACTGGGGCTTTCATTTAAAGGGGGGGGGGGGAGAAATAATTACCCGGAGTACTTAAGTCTATTACTGTGGCCACGGACACGTTTAAAAAAAAATGCAATGCACCACATGGTATCTACACTTGGGCGCATCTACGCTGCCCAAACGGCGCCCCGGGGACAATCTGAACTCTTCCTCAGGCGGACCGCTGTGGGGCCCTTTGATTAAAAGCTTTTGTCAACTATCTCAACGCGGCAAAGGGATCGATTCCCCCCCGCCCCCCATTCCTCTTCCCACGCCAGCCCGCATTTCCCATATGGATCGACACGATTAAGCAATTTACAAGTCTTGAAAAAACCTCCGCTGCCTTCTCTCTGCTGGCGGCCCCGTGACGCGCGAGGTGGAAGCCCCCATAATCCAGAGGCCCGGGCGAGGGGCTTTTTGCCTTCTTCCTGGGAATCCTTCGGGAGCCGTGGGAGAGGCCTCGGCCCTTTAATCCCTTCAAAGGGCTACCGACGCGATTCAAAGTCTTTACAACCCTTTGGAACCCTTGGCGAGGGCCGAGGGTTGTTTGGATAGGAAGGGCAGATAAAGATATCGCGCCCTCCCTCCCTCCCTCCCTTTCTCTTTCGCGGTCGGACGGCCCCTTAAAAAAGGTTTCAGTGGCAACACGGAAACAATTGAATGCGGCCACTGCGGGGCGGCTCGGGTTACCTGGGGAAAGTAACAGAAATGTCATCTTAGCGGCGGGGAGGAGCGAAAGGGCTGCCTCCCGCCTGTGCCCGCCCCCGCCCCCTTCCTCTTTCCCGAGATGCCCTTACAGTACAAAGCTCCTCTTCGGCACGTGTCTCAACTTCAGCTCCATCCCCCAAAGGCGGCGGCGGCGGTTCGTTAGGCAGGCCGGGCGCAGAGAGAGAGAGAGAGAGAGAGGTTTTCCCTTCTCTTGGCGCAATCGCTCAGGAAAGTCGCCCCCGGCCGTTAGTTAGCCTTGCCGCTCTTTTCCAGTAAGCGCGCCCACTGAAGAAGTAGCGAATCGCCTGGAAATCGGCACAACCCAACCACAGCAGCTCTTGGGTCGCTCTTGTGAGACGTCTGCCGAAAACGGAAGGCTTTAAAAAATAATAATAATTAAAAAAAATTGGCAATTCAAGTTGGACGCAACTCCGCTTTTGAAGCGAAACGATCCAGAAGTTGAACTGGAGCATCCGAAGGCGGCGATGGAAAGGGTTTTGAGATTGGGGGTGTGGGGAGGAGCGTTTGCAGCCCAACTCGCCACCCGAGGGACTTGAAGGAATCGGGGGTCTCACCGACGCGGCCCCTTTAAGCGTCTCCCACTTCTCCCAATCCGAGGGACATCTTTTACACAGGTTGAATTTCGGAGTGCAAAGTTAATACATTTCTACTATCTTGCTTTATAAAATCAAGACAATTTAAGGTCTTTGGACACCTCTATTTAAAGGGGTCACTTTCAAAGTATTAACTAAGTAAATTGCACCACTGTTGTTTTTTTAATAAAGCAAAAAAAAACAACACGCACCATCAATGGAACCAAGATCAAATACGCCTTTCTTTCTTTTTGTTATTTACAGGGGACATATCACACATATTCTCTGGCTAGAGAAAAGTACATAGCCGCTCAATGCAAACTTTTATATTGGGACCAGGTATCCCTCTAGTGAACTTTTGGCAAGTTTATTTTTTTTAAATGGAGCAACTAATTACTGAGTCCCATCCCAAACGGACGGTCTGGAGGCAGACATTCGTGAGCTATAGCAAAAGGAGTGTATTGTCTAAGACTCCAAAGCAAATTTTTAATCGCGATATACGTATTTCAGACTTAAGTAGAAGTGGGAAAGGAAGAGAAAAGCAAGTGGTTTGGGGAAGATACAATGTCTTGAACGTCGAGTGCGAGTCTCCAGGCGGTGAGAGTCCCTTTGATCAAGAAAATCCAATTATTTGTGTATATACATTTCCCACACAGTGATTACTTCATTAATTGTCCCGCCTTTATCTCCTCCCTTTCCCCCCACCCCCAAATAATCAGTTCTTTTATCCAGACCAACAAACACACCATAGGAGCTTTGTGGATTCAAAGGATTTGCTTTCGCTTCTGAAAGAGCCGCTATTCTTTGATGATTGGGCAGCGGCAAACTTCAAAGCCATAAATCTTCCTCCTGACTGGCTGGCGGCCCAGCAAAGTCCTTATCAAATTCTTGGAGGTGATCCTGGTGCAGTCAGACAGTCCGCGGAGATCGCGCTGTGTCTGGGCTGGCGGGCTGGCCGAGACGGGCAGAAGTCGGCGAGGGGGAGAAGAAATCGAGCGGAGGGCGAGGGAACCGAGCAGCTTTTCAGCTGCCTCTTGGCGACTTTATGTCGCGGCAGTGGCTCTCTGGCCTCTTCTCCCTCCGGACGCGATAGCCATGGCCGCGGTGGCCGTCCTCCGGAACGACTCCCTGCAGGCGTTTCTCCAGGTTAGTCCCTAGTTGAAGATGGAGGGTAGAGTACCGGGAGCCTCTCTTTCCTCCCCTCCCCCCCAACCCCAACCCCAACCCAATATTCGGGCGACAAGATTGGCAGGAGGCCACAAAGCGTGAAGCTGGCGAGCTGGGGGCTGTTTAGGGAAGGAGGGCCAGCTCACTAAGGGGCCATCGGAAAAGTTACAGGGTTGATTGGGCATGTAAAACAGACATCTGAGCAGATCCCTGGACTGTGTGTGTGTGGTTTTTTTTTAAAATCTACTTTTGAACAAAAAAAAAAGTTTTGCCCGTCTGCTCTCTGATTCTCAACCCTCCAGGGCCCGCAACCGCTTCCAGATCCCGCCCTCCCCTTTCCAAAGCTCGAACTGTACGGCGGTCGGAAGTAGTCCAGGGTGATTGGCAGGCGGGGGAGGGGGGTGAAGGTAGCTGGGCTTGAGGGGGGGTCCCTCTTCCAGCGGGGTTAGCGGTGAGGTTCCCAAGTTGGCACGGAGTTGAAGTGGGCGGGATGCGAACGAGGGAGCACCGGGGCGGGGTGGTGGTGGTCCTGCTGACTTCGGGCATCCCAGCTGCGGTTCATTGTCTTCCGAGAAACGTCCCGCCCAAGTGCCGGGCTCAGCAACTGGTACTTAGCGCCTGGCAGGAAACTTTTGGGTATCCAGCAACAGGGCGTTTTTTGCTGCTAGGCGGAGAGGAAGAAAGTGGAAGGAGCCGCGATTCTAACCGCCGCCTCTCTTTTTCCACCTTTTGCGCAGGATCGGACCCCCAGCGCCTCTCCCGACTTGGCCAAGCACTCGCCTCTGGCTCTCCTGGCCGCCACCTGTAGCCGCATCGGGCAGCCCAGCGCGCCGGTCGCTCCTTCGGATTTCCTGCAGGTCACCTACGAGTCGAGCTTGGGCTCCCCGTCCAGGATCTTTCACCCGTGGAGCAGCGACATGCCAGCCCATTCCCCGGGCGGACTGCCTCCCCCGCCGCCGAGCCTGGGGCTGACTCCGCAGCCGGCTTTCGCGGGCGGCCACGAGCTGCCGCTGACGCCCCCCGCCGACCCATCGTACCCTTACGAATTCTCCCCGGTCAAGATGCTCCCGGCTTCCATGGGCGCCCTCTCCTCTGCCTGTCCCCCGCCGGCTTACGTGCCCTACGCCGCCCAGGCGGCCCTCCCGCCGGGCTACTCCAACCTGATGCCGCCCCCGCCGCCCGCCCCTCAGTCCTGCCGGCAGCTCTCGCCGGCGCCCGAGGACCTCCCTTGGTGGAGCATCCAACAGGCGGCGCCGGGGCCGGGGACTTGCGCGCATCGCTTCGCGGCCGCCGGTGGGTTGCAGCGCGGCTTGGTCTTGGCGCCCTCGGAGCTGGCGCAGTACCAGTCGCAGCTGGCCGCCCTGCTGCACCCCAAGGCGCCCCTGGCGGCCACGGCCAGGAGGTGCCGCCGCTGCCGCTGCCCCAATTGCCAGGTGGCAGCAGGCAACGGGCCCGACGCCACCGCCGAGCCCGGGAAAAAGAAGCAGCACGTGTGCCACGTCCCCGGCTGCGGGAAGGTCTACGGCAAGACGTCGCACCTCAAGGCGCACCTGCGCTGGCACACGGGCGACCGGCCCTTCGTCTGCAACTGGCTCTTCTGCGGCAAGAGCTTCACGCGCTCCGACGAACTCCAGCGGCACCTGCGGACTCACACCGGCGAGAAGCGCTTCGGCTGCGCCGAGTGCGGCAAGCGCTTCATGCGCAGCGACCACCTGGCTAAGCACGTCAAGACGCACCAGAACAAGAGGCTCAAGGCCGGCCTTGGCCTCGGCCTCCCTGGGGGCGACGGACGCGCTTGCGCAATCAAGCGAGAGGAGTCGCGGGACTTGTGACCTGTTGCTGGGTGGGTTGCGCTGAGGCGCTTTGGCGCTGCTCTGCTTTCCTCAGCCGCCTTTTTGCAGGCTTCGGAACGGGCCGCTTGTCTTTCCGAGGGGGGGGGGAGAAACCGCTTCATCCCCATACAGATCTGGACATTTCGGGAACAAAGTGGGAGAGCTCCTTGCTTGGAGACCGTTAAAGAGGAGCTATGGCACACACACAGCACACACGCGGAAATTCTCCGAAGACTGGCACCTTAGAAAGACGCTTGCTTGTCAGATTTCCTTTGAAAAGCAGTTGGAGACTGAAGGGATCGATGGTTTTCCTTGGATTCCAACCTCAGCCCTGGGAAACTAAACTGCCCCCATAGACCTCATTTTGTGTGGTTTGAAATGCAACCACGAAACCCATTTGTGGATTTGGAACTGCTCTCTGGATCTGAGATTAGCCTTCTGTGAAGAGGTTTGGTTTTCCCTTTGGATCAACCCCCCCCCCCCCCTAGCCCGCTTTTTTGAACTTCATTTTAAAGCTATCCTGGGATCTCATCTTCCATCCATCTCCCCCAAAGGATTATGGCTTTGTTGCCAGGTGCTTGCGGCCAGAAAATTGTGGTCCCACTTTCCACCACATTTGGAAACATCTGGCCATAATGGACTAGAATGCTTTAAAAAACAAAATAGAAACAGCAACAGAGCCTGGTTATAGAGTGTCTCAATATTGGGGGAGATCAGCCCTTTGTATACAGTTTATTTAAAGCTTTGGATAAAATCATTCCCCCTTCCCTCCTTCCTTATTTTTATACTTGACTCCCTTATGGGGACTACATCATGAGAAGTTTGAAGTGACCCGAAGTGCGTCAGCATGCTAAAATAAATGCATCAACCCTGGGGTCATATTGGGAAGATCCCACTGAGCTGATTTCTGCGGATTGTTTATTTCTTCTGAAACTTTTTGAACATATAACACTAACCCATTTTAAGTATTTGTTTCACCTCAACAAATGTCCCATTTAGATGGAGAGTACCTTAATATGAGGTCCAACCTGCAGCTCATGTTGTTAAAACCCACCATTGTAAAGTTCACTTATATTTTCCTTGTGGAATATATTGTAATGGTATAAAATGTGTGACTTTTTATTGCTTTCGCGATTATTTTTTAAAACAATTGCTGATCAGAGTTGTAACATTCAAACATTACAAGGAAACGTGTATACATTGTTTGCACCCCAGCTGAAAACTGCAAAAGTACAAGGAGCATGATCCAAAAAGAGAAACAGAAATCAACTACTGTATACTTATATTGAACAAATTTATGTTTAGTGGTGTTAAAATCAGCAAACTTCTGTAATAAGAACCACCAGTCACAGTTAAAGTACTTTTTTGTTTAACTTACATTGTCTTCATTGGGTTTAGGAGTGCTTAACTTGCAAGATCATGCCTAATGTCAAAAAAGCAACATACAGTACAACTTTTAAGAAGAAATATTATATGGCAGTATAATACTATAGGAATATGGTTTGTCAGATTTGTTGCCATTTTTGTTCAGTCTTCTGCACTGCTAAAATTGTTTCACATTTTAGAAGATTTCAAGATAAAAATCAAGTTTGAAGTTTCTTTTTAATTTTCAGATGTCAGAATAAGGCTGCAATTTTGTACCATGTGCAAAATAGATCTCACTTAGGAGTGAGATCTACTAAGTGCTCCTAATGCACATAGAAAATATCCAACTTTTTCTGAGCCACAGATTTTATTTTTACATTATATAAACATTTATCAAAGCGGTGACAGCCCCTAAGTGTTTTCGTCTTACAAAGCCTGCAGATTTTCAGATCTCAACCTTGTAAATTTGTAACATAAATATAATACAAAAGGAAAATTCCATATTCTTTGAAAAATAATTTGTCAACTACATCTTAAAATAAAGATTTTGCTACAAACTAACATGCATTCTCGTTTAAAGTACACAAACATCCAGTTGGAGCTTTCTGAATAAAGTTCAAGTTTGTGTTTCCAGTTTTGTACTCTACATTATAGATTTGAAAGTGTGGATACAAGTATCACAGTGAACTGTTCTAGGACTATGGTCTAGTAGAAAAATCCATCTGAAATAGAACTGTTTAGTTGCATTTGCAATTATTTTTTTAATGCAAACATTTGGCAAATCGTTTAAGCAGCAGGATGAATTTGTTTTTAAGGTTTTGCATTGGGTTAAGCAATTTAAAAGGGAAAATTGCCAAAGCTCATCTGCAAAGTTGCCATTTTTACTGACTGAGCAGTCTAGAAGATCCATGGAGTAGTTTAGGTACTGAAGGGAGTAACATCACTAAAACTTATTCCATGTAGCCTGCAGAAAAATAAATTTAGTTTAAATGGGAATTTGGAAGGGCAGCTTCTTAAAATAGATTACTTGGATTTGGGATTATTTTGCAATATTGCCTTCTAATAAAATATGTTTAATACAAATGCTTTCTAATCTGAAAATATTTCTTAATTGTTACATCTCTTCTGAGATGAATGTGTACATTAGAGATTGAGAATGAAATTATGGTGCAAGTTACAGTATAGTGTCAAAAGAATTTGTTTTCAAACAGAAGGGAATATTAGGCATTTAGGATTGTATTTTAAATACAGAATTGATTGGATTAAAGAATGTATGGTAAATTTTAATTAAATATTCATTTTAGTCTTGTTCCAGTACTGGCAATTTATATAATTTGTTAGTAGCACTGTGCTTTAGTAAATTATGTATAATCGCTGCAAGTTTTATTATAACAACTTGCAATTCAATTTTATACATGCTTACAAGTAAATTTTGTTACTGTGTTTTCAGTCAAGCTGAAAACCCAGTTACTGTGTTTTCAGTCAAGCTTATGAATTCATAAGCTACATTCTTATGAATTCTTATTGCATACAATAGCTGCTATTTTTTAAATATTTCTGATTTTTTTACAATATACAATAACTTTTATCCTTCAAATCTAATGAGGTAGGTTGATTGTATTTTTATATGAACAAATTATTTTTTTAAATATATAAAGAACATAATCCTTCATTTAATATATTCTAAATAGGACACTTGTTTAGGTTCATCTCTTATGAGATATGTCTTCATTGTTTAAATAAGGATCCTATATTTTCCCTAAATTGATGTCTTCCATCAGTATTAGCTAGCAGGCTGATGCAATTTGATAACGGTCATTTCTGGAAAACATTATATTGTGCAAAGCGGTGATGGAGAATTAGTCTCTTTGCATATAGGATTTGCTTTTGAGAAGCCACTGGTCTGCACTATAAATTATTAATCTTATGTAATTGGGTAACACCATATGTGTGACACATAAATCAATTAAGATCAACTATGTCAAACTGATTGGATTGGGAACGTTTAAAGCGAACACTTCAGTTTTATATTTGAATGAATGAATGTAACTGTCTGTGTAGGATATTTAAATCAGCGATCCCCAAACTTTCTGGGTCAGTGGCCCAATGTGAAGGGGGGAAGACCGGATGGTCTCATGCAAGTGGGCTGTGAATGCACGTGCCCACCACTCACATGAGTGGGGCTGCGCTTGTGCAGTGCAGTTCCAAATGGACCGCAGCCCAGGGCTCAGGGACCCTGATTTAAATTACATACTATAAATTCCCCAACTTTCATAAAGTCCCTTTACTCAGAAAGTCAGTCGTTCTGGGCTAATCGTACTTGTCGAACAGCATGTCTATATCTTTCAGATTGTCTTATGTTCGATCTGGGTTCATTCAACTTGCATTTTTGTTATAACATTCTCTAGCACAGGGGTGTCAAATGTGCGTCCCATGGGCCAGATGTGTCAGCACTGGCCATGCCCACCCCCATTTTAGCAAAGGGAGAAAGTCACAACACATCATGTGATGACAATGTGATGCCACGAGTTTGACACCCCTGTTTTAGCAGCTTGCTTTCATATTTTAAATAGGAAATAGATTATTATTTATTTGATAAATTGATTATAAATCATGTGTTTATTGTGCATATAAATCTTCCTCCTATGTTGCTAGATAGCTCACAGTAAAACAAAAACATACAAGGCATTGTACATTAAAATATGTTCAAACACCAAAACACATCATGTTGCCTTTGAACTAAATATAGTAATACATTTCCACTGGCTTGCTTCAGTTATATTGCATTTATACTCCAAAGTCCTGTTGGAAATGGTCTTAACTACTTTTCAACATGATAATAGCAAATCACCCATCCTAATCTCAACTAATTTAATTTTCTCCTTCACATGCCATGATGTGATTATAATGGATCCAGAGTCCAGAACTTGGTTATACATTCTCTAAAGCTGCAGATCTATATCCTCCTAAAGATAATGGTGACTAAGTCTCATCAAATTTGATGCATTAATTGGGCAAACTTAACATAAAATATTTCAGCTGGGAAAATTATGAAGAATCTGAATCCAATCCACCCTAATACGCTTATGGACAATGGCTTTTCCTAACTTGGTGTCCTTCAACTGGGTGACAGCTGCTAGAATTTCCAATCAACATGGCCAATTGGTGGGAATTCTGGAAGCCACATCTGGACGCCATTGAGTTGTGAAAATGTGTTGTACACTATGAAAGCATTAATATGGATATATTTTAATTCTAAAATTAATAACCATTTCAGGGATGACATGTGAAAAAGCCCTCACTTTTTCAGGGTTTCATCACATTTCCAGGATATTTCTATTTTTACCAAACACACAACTGGACGTCGTAGTTGTGAATACTTTTAATTCAGCAACAGTATTGGCTTGCAGAAGTATAGTTAGGACAGGGGTGGGATCCGACCGGTGTAACTACTGGTTCAGTGATTTATGATTTGCTGCTATGCCTGTTGCTCTTCAGAGCTACCAGTTCTACACAGCCAGACAGAACCGGTAGAATCCCACCCCTGGTTAGGAGGTAGCCAACCAGTGGTTTTTACTAAACCTGAACTTGTCTCATATTTTAAAGATAAGAATAAACTGCAAGTATATTTTCTGCTGGCTTTGATTCATTGATACCCAACTTACAGTAGTCTTACTTCAAACTGATTCAACAAAAATAAATGTACACCCAACTGGGGATACTTCTGATTCCAGAGGAACAGTTGCAATACTTCCTGCAAATTCCTTCTCAGAAGTAAGGTGCCTTATTTCTTTAGGGAAATCAGGCCTAGAGGTTTCTTCCTTTCCAAATGTACACAAGAGAAAGTATTTCCATAGGGAAAGAGATGGTTCTTACATATTCCATCTTTGATAATTGTTTTCTAACTTCTTTTATTTGGGAAAGCAGCACTAGGAAACTCATATTCTGAAACATTTGACAGACAAGATGCTTTACTTGTGATATAAGATGAGGAAGGCACTGTAATATAACTGAAGCAAGCTAGTGGCTATGTATTGTAATGTAAATAATCTAAAAGCCTTAGATATAAAGATAACATATTTCCGTTGTATGCTAGTGATTCATTTTTTATGTATTACATCATAGGGGAAATGAGCTTTATTTTTTAAGTTATTTTTATGGAGGGAAGTTAGTGTGTTTATATTCTCCCTCTTGAGGGTCTAGCTGTAATTCATCTGTCATTTTGTCAAAGCACCATTTCCATTCATCTCTTGAAATGTTCTGTGCTGCATATTTTGAATTTTACAATCAACCCAGCATATTCTTCTGAGTAAAACTGCTGCAAGCAGGCAATTGCTTTCAGATTGCAATGGAAATCTTGGTTTAAAATATTTCTTTGCTTAAGAATAAAAGATGGATTTCATATGTTGTATTTCCTACATTGAGTTGCATTGTTAGCAATATCTATGTATAAGTATCTATACGTATTTGTGTATAGATGCATATATTTTGAACTGGAAAGCTGCCTGTGAGTAAGCAAATTAATACATTAGTTGCAAACCTCTCTGTCTAAATTAAATTAGTCTAAGATGTTAATATAGAAAAGGTTAAGTATTATGCATATACGGTGGGTATAATCCAGCCATGACCAATTCTACATAGGTTTAAAGATTTTGACTTGCTCTATCAATTTGAGTAGGAATTAGGCTGTTTTCTTCAATGAGTATTATTTTCTGAATTACTAACTTTTGGATGTCATGTTGTTTAAAAAACTATTTCTGTCTGGACCAAAAAACTTTCATTTTTTTTTCTTCCTGGTGCACCTATAGTCATCATCCAAGCTGCTTCAGAATGATTTGGAATTTATTCATGGCATGGTTATACTGTTGGTTGAACATCAGGTTCCTGTTTGGAGTATGGCCTCAGTGTTTCCTGAGTGCATTAGTTTGTAATAGTATGAAATGACTCTCAGTAATAATTTCCTTGCATGGGATCAAATAAGAAAGCGTTGAGAAGTTTTCTGCAGCCATTTCCATGCACATCATCTAACCATCACCATGCTGATAATAGTAATGGATGCAGTTTTTGTATGTTATTGAGTAATGTTGTAAGATGCTATAAGTCTCTAGTGAGGAGGTAGCTGTGGTAACTTTTATTGAATTCTCTCACAAAAACATCCCAAATCCAATGATATTTTTGAAAACACTGAAAAATTGCCTTTAAAAGATAAAGCTTTCTTTCTTTCTTTCTTTCTTTCTTTCTTTCTTTCTTTCTTTCTT